TGTGTGTGTGTGTGTGTGTGTGTGTGTGTGTGTAGAGTGTGTGTGTGTGTGTGTGTGTGTGTGTGTGTGTGTGTGTGTGTGTGTGTGTGTGTGTGGCGTGTTTCCAACGTGTCGAAGAGAGCCAACAGGTGGGTGTTGAAAGCATGGCCTTGGGAAGATTGAAAAATAGGAGGCATCGTCACGGCATGCATGCGGCTGTTACCAGTTCGAGACTGCTGTCAGGAAGCTGCTCTGGTGCACCCGAAAGCTCAAGCACCTCCCTGGATCGACACATCCGGTGGATTGATGAGGAGAGTACGCAAGAGCAACACACGTGAGGGCACACAGAAGGAAATCCCACAGCAAGACACAAAGTGGACAATTCACCGAAACACGACACGCACACACACACACACACACACACACACACACACACACACACACACACACACACACACACACACACACACACACACACGCACACCTGACGAGGGCGGCGGCGCCGGAGTTGCGGAGATCGTCCTCAAACACGGAGACGTAATTGTCCATGAGATAGCAGTACCTGACAGCGCAAATTGCACCACAGGCCCCGGTTATCGTGAGCTTGAAGAATTGATGTGGAGGGTCAATCATACGCACACACACACACATGCACGCACGTGTGTACATGCGCACTTACACAGGCACACAATCATTCATGCGCACACCCGGAACAGAACAGACCTCCGTCGCTCTTCGATCAGGCACGCGCGCAAACAGCGCTGGTTGAAGGCTTCAAAGCTCTTGGACTTGTGCAACATGGTCTGTGTGAATGTGTTTGTGTGAATATGTGTTTGTTTGTGTGTGTGAATGTGCGAATGTGTGGAGGTGTGTTTGTGTGAATGTGTGTTTGTGTGATAGCAAGAAGTTGGAGGGACACAGGAAACATCGGGCGTGGCAAATGGGCGCACAACACCCGCAAGTCGCAAGCAACACGATGTGATTCATTATCAAGCAGCAGCGCATCCCTACCTTGAGGGCCTTCTGCATCACTTCCTGCGCATGCTCGTCCTTGCTCTTCTTTGCCGCCGTCTTCTGCGCTTTGATTGTGCTCTGGCCAGCCTTTTTCAGCTCATTCTTGTATTGCCTGAACATGGGGCCGTCACACGCATGTGAGACGATCTGTGCACCACCAACTCTCATCAAGTTGTGCATGTGCGTGTGTGTGTTGATGAAACAAGCAGGTTTGTTCTCACTTGGTCATGCCCTTGAAGTCATCCTCCATCTTGCCAAAGGTTTTCTGTTCCGTGCGCAGGCGTTTCTGCAGTGGCACAATGAACTACGCAGGGACACCACACCCGACCAATATGAATGGTGTGAGTAGAGGCAGCAAGGGAGAGAGAGAGTGTGTGTTTGTGAGGTGTGCGTGATGTGTACATAGGTGTGTGCGTGATATATACATGGGTGTGTGATGTGTCGAGACACAGGTATTGGCCAACAAGGTGCGCTGGTCGTGCGTTGTTCGTACCTGGGTCTGCATTTTCCGCGTTTGGATGTCACGATCGGCCACCATCTACGTAAACATGCAGTGGAGGTGGTGGCGGAAACGGCTGAGTGAGGCAAACTGCAGGAAGGAACCAAGACGCAGATGCCTCCCGCCAACACACACACACGCACACACACACACACACACACACACACACACACACACACACACACACACACACACACACACACACACACACACACACACACACACACACACGCACGCACACACACACACACACACACACACATACACACGCACACACGCGCGCGCGCGCTCTCTCTCTCTCTCTGCTGTCTCAGTGTGACCATCCAATGAAACAGTGCTCTGGCAACCGACCTTGTGGTGCTGGGAAGCAATCTTCTGCATGGACTGGCCGAGCTCGTGAGTGGCAGCACGCCCACGATTGGCCGTGACAGCAACCTGGGCCACAAGCAAGAGCCAGGCACGAAGGAATCCCCCAACCGGAAGGTGGCCACGTGAACGAGGCAAAAATGAGTAGTTGGGGTTGGGGGTTGGTGGTGGAGCAATGTAGCATTGACCATCCATGTGGGCCTCGATGCACCCCTGCTCCAGCAACATTTTGAGGCACAACAACGGTGTTGTGTTTGGGGTCGTTGCCCCCCTGTGTACATGGGCGTGTATGTTTGACAACACACCTTGCCCAGCGCATCGACAAAGACTTGGGCCGCTGCGTTTGCTTGTTCCATGGCGGCGTGGTACTTGCTGGCAGCCTGATAGGTGCGTGCAGACGATTTGTGTTGTGTCATGTTAGACACGCAGTTCGGAGAGGGGGGGGGGGGAGGAGAGGGGATTGATAGCACAACACAGTTCCAGGTGCGGTGACACCCGAAGCGCGTCACACACAGGCAGCGAGGCAAGAGAGGAGGGACGCAGAGTGAGTGGAAGAGAGCGAGTGGGACACACACACACACACACACACACACACACACACACACACACACACACACACACACACACACACACACACACACACACACACACACACACACACACACACACACACCCACACCACACAAAGCAAAGGCGCGCATCATACCTTCAGCAGTTCCTCCAGTGCTGGTGTGGCTAGCTTCATGTTTGTGAACACCTGCCGCAGTGGGAGAACGACATTGCATGAGATCGACACCAGCTCACGGCTGGAAAGAGCTGGCGCACTCAGATCGCTGCAGCACGCTAACATACGTAACCAGCACGATCGTCAACAAACAAAGAAAGATGGAAAGAAAGAAAGGGGACAGGAAGAATCACCTGTTCTGTCAAGACTTGAAGAGCCTCTGAGGCCAAGCTGGACGCTGAGGATGGATCAGACATGGTGGTTGGTGGTTGTGGTTGTGGATGGCTTGGATTGGATTGGACGGCAGCCGACAAGGTCGTGGTCGTGCAGTGTTTGTGTTTCGCTTTGTGTTCTTCTTTTTGTCGTCTTGCTTTGCTTGTCGTTGGCGTTTATGGTCGAGTTAAAGCAACATGGAATCACGAAAGGATCAGAGTGTTGCATCATGATTTGATGGTTCTTTAACATCATCCGCGCAATCAAGCACGACGTTGACGATGGTGTCCACCGCAGCCAGCGCGCCTTGCCCTGGTTGACACGTGTGTGTGTGTGTGTGTGTGTGTGTGTGTGTGTGTGTGTGTGTGTGTGTGTGTGTGTGTGTGTGTGTGTGTGTGTGTGTGTGTGTGTGTGTGTGTGTGTGTGTGTCCGAAAAAGAGAAGTGTTGGGGGGGGTGCACATACTGTCGGGCCGCAAACGAGGTAGATAACCGCAGGGGATTGCAGGTGTGGTGGAGGGGGATCGGCTGAAGCTAGCTCGGTACTTCAATTGAGGAGGTGCGGGGGGGGGGACGGGGTGGTGTCATGCATGTTGAG